CACTCCCCACGTTCCGGCAGCAACTAAGGGATCTGTTTACTGGGTCAATAGTTGACACTTGACCGCATTCAGTGCCAAGTCCCACTTATTTGCCCACTCAACCACCTGTTCAATGTCGCTCACTAGGTCAGCTCTACCACTTTATCTCACCACCTTCACGTCATTCGCAAAGACGAAACAGAGTGAGTTTGTTAACCCCGCCGAGTCGTTGATGAATCAAAGGAAGAGTAACGGTCCGNCTGATAACTGGCCTCCCCTACTTTCACTGCGAAGGTTCGATTTGTGAGAAAAGCAGTTAACCATTTATGCAGATTCCCTCCTAGCCCAAAGCTTTTGATTTTGTGAGGGAGCAATCTGTAGTTCACAGAGTCGAAAGCTTTGCCAAAATCGAGGTAGCAAAAATCAACGGTATGGTCCTCATCTAGCTTCTCTGTGACTTCATCCATATAGCACAGAAGGTTAGTGAGACAGGATCTATGTTTTAGGAATCCGTGCTGCGCCCCGCTTAGTAGGGTGTAACGTAGTAGATGGCAACATACATGTTCCCTAATCAGCTTCTCCGTGCATTTGCGGAGAATGCTGGTTAGGCTTTCAGGTCTACAGTTTCTTATGTCGGATTTCTGATCACCCTTGTGAAGCGCTACCACAGTAGCTGTCTTCCAGTCATTAGGTAGAACTCCGTCCGCTAGAGACACTTGGAAGAGCAGGCTCACGGGTGTAGCAAGGATATCCCCTAGTGGTCTAGGAATGGCTGGCCCTGATGCTTTATTTACGTTGAGTTCCGACAGAACCCTGCGCACCTCCTCCGTTGTCACTACTATGTCCTCAATAGTCTGAATCTGTTGACCCCCTTCAGACGGGATAACCCACCCTCTAGCCTCTTGAGCACACTTCCAAAGTATCTCCCTAGTACTATGGCCTTCTCCTAGTCTGTTGGGACTATTTTATCGCCCTCCAGGTTAAAGACGTCTTTTTCGTCCCTAAGCACCCTCTTGGACTGCACGTAACTATAGAACCTTTTCGGTTTTGCCCTCGCATTTTGGGCTAGATGTAGTTCATATTTTCGCTTTTCGCTTCGAACAACGCGAACAGTCTCGTTCCTGTGTCCTACGTAACGCATCCAAGACAGCTGCAATCCTACCTCCCGGTATTGTTCCCAGCTGGCGTTACGACGACTTATTGCCTTTCCAACCAATGCAAGACTAAAGCGCAAAGGGCTAGAGGTCAGCTATTCCAGTTGCGAAATACATTGAGCAATCGAGAGGCAGAAGTCTTTATCTCACTGTATAAGGCACTGGTGAGACCCCACCTAGAATACTGTGTTCAAGCCTGAGCATCCTACCTGCAGAAAGACATTCAGTGCATTGAGAAGGTTCAGATGTCAGCCACCCGGATGATCTCGGGCATGAGGGGCGCGCCATATGAAAAAAGGCTTGAAGCGTTAGAACTCTTTTCTATGGAAAAAAGGCGCCTCAGGGGTGACCTCATAGAAACGTTTAAGACAATGAAACTATTCACTGCCGAAAGTTTGTTCACTCGAGCGCTCGTAAAGGCCACCAGGGACACAGCTTAAAGCTCTTAAAACCAAGGGCTCGCCTCGGTGTGTGGTTTAACTTCTACACAAACCGAGTGGTTGAAAGATGGAATCAGCTACCACCTCACCTGATGGAATGTACGAGTACAGTCGATTTCAAAAGGTAGTTAGACAGGGTTTGGACCCAAATATACCCAGAGGTAGTATAGAAGCTGAGTCTGAGATTGTTTAGGGTTGATATGCTACTTGTTTTCCAAATAATCTCCCGTACAGATATCGTACTGGAACCAGTTTCCTGCCGAAAAACAGTTGCAAGACAGAGACTGAAACAGTTTTTGAAGCTTTGGGAGAAGAAACCTTCCTATTAAAGCAAAAATCTGGACGCTTGGTCGGCGAAAGCCTTTTCCGTCCTGTGCAACCTAACCTGACCTGACCAATGGAAGCCTTCCACCAAGGTGGTTTACCAAATGGCTTTCGCAGTATCAGAGGCGCGAACTCATCCTGCAATGCAAGTAGGTTCTCCTTAATTATTCTCCAGACATCCTCGAATACAAACCCGTCTTCGGCTGGCTGCCAAACGAGCTAAGCTGGCTTCCTTTGCAGTCCATTTATATCTAATTTTCCGAAGCAGCGCACTTTGCGTTTATGTGGTTTCGGCAGCCTTGTTTCTAGTGTGAACTTAATAACCACGTGGTCGCTCTTTTCAATTGCGAGGTAGTAGCCGACCTCCTGCACATCCATATCGTACCATGTTATAACAAGTTCCAGCAGAGATGGTTGCTGTCCCGACCTAAAACGCGTATTTTCTGGTACGTGCTGGTGCACTGCTTTGAGATGCAGCCAATCTACAGAGCCCTGCTTCTGTATATCGTTCGAACAACTGCTGATGTCCCATTTTATACTTGGTAGGTTGAAGTCCCCCAGTATTACTAGCTTATGAGGCATCCGTGCCAACATATCCAGTGCTGATCGGAGCTACTCGTCCTCCGTTCCCATCGCACTAGGTCTCCTATATACACACGCTATATTGGTTTTGCGCCCCTATGCGGCGATGGTGACTGAGCACATCTGTATGTTGCTCGTGCAGACTTCAATATCCACTTGAACTTGTTGGATATCCTTCCTAGCTAATATGAGTACTCCACCACCCTGCAGCTGCTGACTCCGATCTTGTCTATGAACCTCATAGGCTTCATGAGCCAGTGACGGGACATGGCCGTGACTAACGAGCCATGATTCTGAGACGGCAACTGCAGTCGGTTTGTGTTCGTTTGCTATGTTTAGGGTTTGCCACTGCTCGTTTTCTAAGACATCCTCTATGACTACGACAGGGGATGGTCTATCCATCCCTATCTGCGATGGACTCTGTTTCTTAAGTTGGAGGTGCAATGGCGTCCGCTCAACCGGCCATACGTTGCCGTTCGGTTGCCATGTGTTCTGACTCCTGGGTATGTCAGGCACTACTTTATACCTCCCACAGGTAACATTCAAAATTCTCTGGGACTTTGCAAGCAGTTTATCTCTACAAGTTGGCTCCACGAACTCAACAAGTAGGGGTCTGGCCCCGCAAAATCCCACTGGTTCCGGTTTCTTCCAGATGCCCACCCTATGTATCCTCCTTATGCAAACGGATGGCATACCAGCTGCCCGTAGAACATCCTGAACTCTTCGCTGGTCCCTTTCTCGACGAGCCTTAGATTCTCTTATGAACGGTTCTTCATCGTTCAAGATCAAGAACGTCCTTTGTTTAAAGCCCGCTACATTTGCCTTTCTTTTCAAGAACTCTAGGTTCGTCTGGACTTCGCGCAACTGCACTTCCAGGGATTTGAGTGTGCCTGCGCGGTCGTCCTGTACTCGTTTCCTTGGTATTACTGAGTCAGCAACCTGAGGCTTTTTCTCTACGCCACGGCTCTTCGACTGATGACTCATTTTGGCTTTAGTATCTTCTCGTGTGCGTCTCGCTTCTGCCAGCACTCTGTCAATCATGTTTCGTGCCACTCTGAGTGGTTGGCCAAACATATTCAGTATATTTCTCGCTCTCGGGTAGCCCACTTCCGGGTCCAGCATTTTACACCCTTGTACGGCTTCTTTGGCCTTTTCTCTACGCCACGGCTCTTCGACTGATGACTCATTTTGGCTTTAGTATCTTCTCGTGTGCGTCTCGCTTCTGCCAGCACTCTGTCAATCATGTTTCGTGCCACTCTGAGTGGTTGGCCAAACATATTCAGTATATTTCTCGCTCTCGGGTAGCCCACTTCCGGGTCCAGCATTTTACACCCTTGTACGGCTTCTTTGGCCTTCCTCCGACAGTGATGCAGAAAAAACAGAAACTTTTTTCCTGCACCGTCGGTTCTGCATTCAAGGAAATTTTAGTATTGACGGATAAATTGGTAATATTGTTCGTGATTGCCGTCGAAACCTGTCAGTTCGACTCCTGACAAATTGACGTTCACATGGGCATACGTTTTTTGCTTCGAGACGGATACTTTGTTCGGAGAAAAGTAACTATGTGCAGTCTCAGTTCGAGGCGTTATTGTGCCGTTGAAATTGGGTTTTTCACATATGGTTTGTTCTTTCTCCTATCTAAAACATTTTAGCTCATGCTCTAATTCAGAAACCCGCAATTTAAATATATCAATATGCTCAATATCTGAATCTACACAAGAAACAGCACTGACAGGAATAACAGCCCCCAGTGACTTGCCGGGTTAATTTCTGTTGGGTATCAGTTTCCTTGGTTCCTCGTCTGGGGATATTCGAAAAGGCTTTCTCGTTTGACTCCAGTTTGAGTACTGTACGTCAACCAATTCGCACTTGAGCGACGCGTATCCGAAACCGCTACGAATCCTGAAATAAAACACGATTGATCCGTAATGTTCGACGGTACTGAATTAGAGAAATCATTACAAAGTGTGCAATAAAGCAAACCGCAAATATGCGGCCAAAAGCACTTAAGCAAGCGAGCCAAATATGATGTCCAGAGAGAGCCAACCAGCCGCTCACGTCTTCTGATTACGCCAAATTCAAATGTGCCGGGTATAGAATTAACAGATAAAGAATAATGTATGGTGTTTGTGATTGAGAAATGTCAATAGAGAAGCAACACATAGATAGAGTTATGTCACCGTAAATCATCATGGGTTTTGAAGGATTTTCAAAAAATCAACATGAAATGCACCAACCGCCAAAATCCTTCCTGCGCTCGTCTGAGTCAGAGAGTTGGTGCAGGTCATTGATTCTTGTCTACCTATCTATCTATCTATATAGTCCCTGCTTTCAGTGCCTCTAACTACAAACTGTTCAACCTTCGCCGCACTCGTCGATCTTGATCTCCGATGACTTGCACGTTCCTTTGTCGAGATCTGCACTCTGCATCAGCAAGCCTGCAGCCAGTCGCACGATAAATTTATAACAGTGGGTCAAATGAATATCATTACAGATAAAGTCTCGATGTTTAACCAAGGAGGGGGAAATGTGAGCGATGTAATTAGTGTTCAAGTTTACAAATGAAATCATGTTCAGCATGCAGGTGATAGTTTGTATGTAAATGGATTAATGTTGTGAGGACATGGGTCACACCTTCGAGGTTAGTGTCACAAATTGTGTATCAATCAAACAAAAAGACACTCAGTCACGAAAATGAAATGGAGAGGACGTATGGTAAGGCCATGGAAGCACGGGTTCGTACAAGTGGGTGAATATCGCAGGGGCGCAATTGGTAAAAGTGGACAGGTAAGTCGATATAATACACGGCGGGTCTCTGCAACTTCATCAAGTAACTGCATGGTGGTCATCTCCTTCCAATAAACACACTCGTCGAGTGTCGCGCACCTGTTCACCGGCAGATGTTTTCAATTTCACTGTTCTTACTAGTCCGTCTGATTCCGTGTGGATTTCTTTGACTATACCCAGTGGCCAGTTGTCGCGTTGTAGCTTTTCGTCGGCCATGAGGCCAACGTCTCCAACCTTCAGCGACCGTTCTCTATGCAACCACTTCTGTTGAGCTTGAAGGGTTGGCAGGTATTCTCTTGTTCAACGCTTCCAAAACGCCCGTGCCAGGTAGTTCGCATGCTTTCAACCCGACTTATAGCAACCACTAAAGCTTTTGGCCTATCTGGACCATCATTGGACCTCTATAGCAGAAGGTCACTCGGAGTGAGTGCTAGTCCTTGCAGCTCATTGCTGGTGACGGGTACAAGAGGTCGGTTGTTGAGTATCCTTTCGGCCTATACTAGAAGTGTACTCAAATTTTCGTCGTCCAGGCACTTCTCACATGTCCCTCCCCAATTCCTCTCTTCCGTTTGATCCTACCACCTTGACGTCTTTCGCTAAATTATAGCTATGTGGAACAGGTTACCCACAGAATTGGTCAACTTCGCCAATGTTAACGCCTTCAAGGTTGCCCTTAATACATGTTGGTCGACAGCGTTCCCCGAATTTAGTATTTAGAGTGGGAACGTAATGAATAAATTCTACTTTAGCCGGCTGCTTTGAAATGGTGCGAACTCGGGCTTTGACTTTTAGGATTATTCTAATACTGCTGTCTTTTCACATGTGATCTGTGTTTAAAAACGCATGTGTACTTGTGGTCTCTAACCAATGAGGCGAGGGGATATCCTTGCTTGTTTTCCTCCCTTCCAGCATACCCTCAAGGAGTCACGGTTCTGGCAACGGGGCTAAATTGCGAGGATCACGAACACCCAATCAACTGTACGCAGCGTTGGAAGCTACTACCGTCCTGTGGAAACTGAAGTGAACACAGATATGGTTATGTCCCCCTGAATCATCATGGGTTTGGAAGGATTTTCAAAAAGTGAACATGAAATACAATGCGGCAGTGGGTCACCTAAGACTTTTTCGTCGTCATCATTACCGACTACTCTACTAACACTTAAATTGCTTTCCGCTTTTCTATCGAACCGCTTGTTGAAGCTATTGGTGGATAGTTGGCCCTAACCCTTACGGCCGTAGACGGAAGACGCTAACTCTTCGTAGTCTGTGTTGCCGACTTCTGTCTATGGAACAATATCTGAATGTCCGGGTACTTCCCTATAATAGCTACTACATGTCGAAGTTAATTGCATTAGAAATCGTAATACACTGTACCTAAACTGTTCAAAGAGACGCCTAGTTCTTGAAGGATATCTTTCGTTTGAGTTAACTTTGATGTCTTGTCCATGACATTTCTTGAGGCAGCTATTACCACATTCGAGTTCTGATCTGAACGCCTTCCGCTGCGGTTCATGATCCACCTATCTAGAATAAGACTGTGAATATCCCAAATAATCAGATCGAATACCCTGACTACATGCAAACAGGGCTACAACCATTGTGCATAGAAATAACATTCACACCTCGTTTCCCCTGTGATTCGTTCAATCTTATATGACTTTCAGTTACTTAATATTATATATTTCGCGCAAATGGTGTTACTCGTATGAGCAACGGTTTAAACGGTTGCATCCTTCTGGGAGGCGGATACCCCTTCACGAAATCTTTTTCAAGGCGAATTCCATGCTTCACTTCCAGTGACCTTACTCGGTGTAGCACTTTCTCAAGTACATCCACTAATGAAGATCGTAGAGACAAGCCTGTCTTGATGTGCCGATTTTGCGTCTGCACTCAGTTGGTAGTTAGGTTTCCTAAATTGAACCTAGTCCTCACGGCATACCCTGCCCACTGCTCTCAGTATGGTAACCAAGTTCAGCGTATGTAAACACCTGCTTCTGTTCTACGACTTTCTAAGGCGGCTAGGAATCTACGAAACGATACCTCGCTATCACAGTACACCATGTTCCGTATCCATTGAAAGATTCGTCTCTTCTGGAACGTTGGCATACCAGATAGCTGGTCACATTGTTTTCTCTATATCCTTGACCAGATGGAAGCAACAAAATACCACATTAAAGGAAGGGGAATATTCTGAAAACGCTACACTCAACTACTACAGTCTTGCATTGTGCAAAGGCTTAGTACATCGCTCCCATTGCTCCTACGGCAGATCTATAGCTCTTACTGCTTTCATTCGTCAAGATAGAGTAGAAGAAACTTATACCTAAACCGGTGTCGTCTACAAGCATAGCATGCCAAAGCACGTACCCGCAGCAGTTTAGCTGGTGCGTGGCGTCCGCTAACAAAACATCATTAAACCTGTTGACGCAGTACAGCATAAACTTAGGACGAACGACGCTTTCGTTCAGCCCTATTCCAACCTCTCCCTGATTCCCCACAATATCCTGAAATTTCACCGCATCGTCACGTGAATCCAATTGAGATCTCCTCCGACGTATGGATCTAATATCCGCCGTAGTTATCGGTCTCTTGAACCTTTGTGTGGCAAAATCCCT